CTGCTAGTACTACTGTTGTTGCTGCTGTTACTACTACTACTACTACTACTACTACTACTACTACTACTACTACTACTACTACTACTACTACTACTACTACTACTGCTGCAACTACTGCTTATGCGATTACTGCTACTCTACTGCTACCACTTTTGCCACTACTAAATGATATCATAATATTAGTAACAACAACAACAATCAATAATAACAACAGCAATAACAAAAACAATAATAATAATAATAAAAATAATAAAAATAGTAAATTCATTGACTACAGCTATGAATGCTATTTGAAAGAAAAAAAGCTGAACAAGCCAAGCGTAAAATACGCTGTTTTAAAATTTCCAAATTCTTTTGGTTCGTACACAGACACACACACACATGTACACACACACACAAACACACACACGCACATGACTTTACCTTTCATCAAATGTCAACACATCTGAAAATTAATTGCCATCATCATCGTCGTCGTCACCATCATATTTAACAGCATGTGTTGATGAATTCTTCAAGCAGTATTGATATAATACTAAATTGTAACGTGACTGTTATTAGTAAAATTAATTAACTAATTACAGTGCTAGAGGTAAAGCTAGTAGCATTGGTACTAACATTTAGTTATATGAACTTCTGAATTTTAACTAATTTGACATAATATAATGGCGTTATTCCATTCAAATTCGTTTCAAATGTTTCCATTACTAACCCAATCAGTATTACTAACAGTTAGTAGTAGTAGTATTGCTGTTACTCACTCAGTTTCTATTACTAATAACACCCCCATTACCATAATTAGTATTATAACTATGCCTAAAGAATCCAATGTCACGGAATATTATAACATGACTGTGTTGAAGGGATTTTTATAAAAATTACTAAAAATTTTTAAATTGCAAAACCGGAAATATTAATTTAAGTGTGTCGTCGGCTAGTTAGCTTAGTCTGTAAGGGTGTTGTCATTTGAAGTGTAGTTTGTTGGTTAACCAAAGGTTTCTACACTGCGGAGATCCTGTTCGAATGCTTACTGAGCACATCATAAAAATTTTTTATCATAATTTGAATTTACAGTATATGTGTGGGTTGTGTTATTTGGTTGACGTGCGAGTAAAACTTTGCTAAAAAAAAGCATTAATTATTGATAAAGTTCGTTTTCTATATCTATACTTTTATTTTAATGAAGAGAATTTAAAACACTTTTCAGCTTTGAAAATAAATTACTATTATACTGTTGATGATAACCGCAAAACTTAATTATAAACTCTCAGTTTATAGATTCTCTCTATCATTAATCTTAATGTGGTATCATCGATTATTAACGTGCACTCTTTTTGGATGAAAAATTTTTTAATATGAAGCGCATCAAAATTTATGACAATAAATTTACTTTTAAACATTCCTCCTTCTCACCGACGGACTTTAATAATTTGGTCAAAAACTGTTCAAAAGTCGATTTTTTGAGGCTGTCATGTCTTCCGCCAAGTAAGATCCGCCAAGCAAAATTTTTAAAATTTTAATTAAATTAAACTCAAAATTCCATTTTTGAAGACAAGTTCCGATATCCTGGCTGGATTATTTCATCACCCCAAAATGCTACAACAAACTTTTTGTTGACCGACAACTGGAGTGTTGGTGACAAATTATTTTTATTTTTTTATTTATTTGATTTTTTCAAATTGATTTGATTTTTTATTATTTAGTTTCAATTTAAACAAGTAAGACCCTAATATTAATTTTAAAATAATGAATTTTAATGAATTTATATTTTTATAAAATATAAATAAATAAACAATTAAAAATAAACTCTAGTTTTAATAAATTGTTCATTTTAATGATTTGTTTTTAATACTTTTGTCATTCCTTAGCTGAATGTTTGAAAGCCATTATCAGTAAGTTCTTGGGCTATCTTATTATTTTAGGATCAATTTTAGGTTAGTTTGTTCATTTGTTTTTTGCTAAATTTATTTATTAAATAAATAAATTTATTTAATTAATTGTTTATTCATTTATTTATTAAATCATTTATCTTAAATTTTAGCCCAAATCATTCTCATTCATTTCAATCACCTATTAATTATATCTCTATTCATTACATTATCATCATTGAAACTTTATTAATTTAATTAATTTATTGATTAATTAATTATTTACACTAATTAATTATTTTATTTTTTAGTCAAAGTTCCCCAGATCCTAAAAATAGTGAAGGCCAACAGTGCAGAAGGCCTAAGTTTGGTGGGAATAGTCCTAGAATTAATAGCTGTTTCCGGGACATTGGCATATAGCTATGCTAACAATTTTCCATTCAGGTTATTATTATTATTTATTATTATTATTATTATAATTATTATTGTTTTCTTGTTTATTATCATTATATGGTTATAGGTACTTGACATATATAGATACATATGTACTCAAATTTTTTAAAGATGTTAGCAAACAAATATACATGATCATCAGAAGTTCATTCATCCGTTTTTTAATCTATCCATCCGTC